TCCTCTCTACACTCTTACACCATTGTTGTAGAACTGACATCTTGTTGTTGTTTAAATTTAAAACTACGCAACTTTACTGTAGATAAAATATCGTTATTGTGTATTTTGATGGCTTTATCTAAAACATTCCTTAGTACTTTGTCTTAGCATTGATTGTTCGCATGGAAACTAGCAGTCAGTCTGATTTTATTACACAATAGCTGTTTGCCCGCGACTTTGCTTGCGGCTTATGTGTATGTAGCTTCTCGTAGGTAAAAGAATTTTTATGATCGGATCAATTAGTCCAAAGATATAAGAGAGAGAAACAGATTATACGGTTTTACAAAAATACTAGTTAAAATCAACAAATTCTTATTATTATTGTGACACTTCAGATCAAAAGTGAATGTTTTCTTTTAGATAAATAAAGAAAAAAAATCTTCGTTTCCTTTAATTATTCATGTAAAGACAACATATATATTACGTTTTTCTTATTTTTCACCAAAAACATACGAATATTTTTTTTATGTCGCTACAGAAATACAAATGAACTCATAAACTACCAAATTGTGCTTGTTTACTGTATTCTATACTATAATATAATCGAAATATAAGTGATTCACGAATATAAACGCATTATTCCTTTGTGCCGTTATGTAATGGTTTTTTAACGTGATTTTTGGAGGCACAGTGTTTAGCGCGCTCGGTCTACGATTGTTAGTTAAGCAACTTTCCGACTTGCCGGTCATAGGATGGGTGACCAAAAATTTATTATCTCGATCTCCTTCGTGCTTCAGAAAGCACGTTAAGCCGTTGGCATCTGCAGTCATTAAGTAATCTGCACTGTGACCGCGTGGTTAGTCATAGTCTTTACTCCCTCGATTTGATTGGATTGCATCTATAGGGAAGACCCGAGTCCTAGTAACGCTGGTGGTGACGATTTTTGGTTTAGATGCCCTTCTATATAAATCAATATGTTACTGAACTAATTTGAAGCACCAAAAAGTGTTACCATGAGGAAAATGTCAGTAGTTTTTCCTCAGTTATGTTAGCGGTCTGCATTCCGATAATACATCATATGCTATTGTTTATTATTATACATCAAATATACTAGTTGCAGCTTTCATATTGTAATTCATTATATCAGCTTTCTTTCACGTGATTTTTTCTTCATTATTTATTATTCGAAACGTTTGCAAACTGTAACAGTTTTCAGCGGTTATGAGTTAAAACAACATAGAACGAGGGAATGTTAAGGTTATATACAGCGATAATGGAACAAACTTTAGAGGTGCAAGTAATGTTTTTGATAACATAAATTGGGAAACAGTAGAATCTAAAACTGATAGGATTTTATGGCGCTTTAGTCCACCCGCAGCGCCATGGTGGGGAGGATTTTGGGAGCGAATGGTAAGAACTGTCAAAGAACTTTTAAGGCGTGTTTTAGGTAGAGCAGCATTATCTTTTAATGAGTTATCAACCGTCATTTGTGAGGTAGAGGCGATTGTAAATTCGCGTCCGCTCACGTATATTGCGGATAATTCAGAAAATGTTCAACCTCTTACACCCGCTTCATTTTTACTATTTTATAAGACAAATAGTAGCAATACTTTTGATATCGATTTGATAGATGGTCATATTTTGACATCACGGTGGCGCTACATTAAGAAACTATGTTCTGATTTGAAACATCGTTTTCGCAGTGAATATTTAGGCTTACTAGTCACTAAATGTAATAAAAATAAAAATAATTCTTTAAAACCCGGGGATATTGTACTACTTGAGGTTAGTGACAAGAAGCGTATACAGTGGCCACTGGGTTTAGTATTAGAATGTATGGGAGGTTCTGACGGTGTCAATAGAGTTGCTCGTCTTAGGACATCGTCGGGAGAACGTTTAAGAGCTGTACAGTCTCTGTACCCACTAGAGTTATCTAGTGTGGAATCTGCTTATTTGAATAATCGCAGTGAGAGCAACAAACACAATACTGCAATAGGTATTCAACGAGAAGTACAAGGTGAACTTAGAACGCGTTCTGGCCGACTCGTCAGAATACCAGATAAGTTAAAATTTTAGTTTTGAACATAGTATTAATAAATTTTATAAGGTATGTATTGTGTTTAGGATATTGTTAGTATGTTAATAATAAATAAATAATAATATTCAAATTTTATTGACAATGTCACATGTTATTGTTTTTCAATTCAATAAAATGTCTTCGTAGATGAACATCTAAAGTGTTATTTTTTTGGTTAAAACGAGGCATAGTTCCTACAAGTAATAAATCCAAAGACCTGCAGGAACGTGAATTCGATAAGATCAAATAATGCATGTGTATTAAATTTTCGAATCATTACACTTTTTAGGTCTTTTTTTGTACGTTTATTTTTAACAGAAACAGACGTTACATAACGTAGGTTTCAATACTAAATATCTTTATGAATCAATGCATTGGATAATAAATATTTATTGTTGTAGCTGTGACAAAAGCTGAAAAAATCAATGTCATTATATATCCAGAAATACGTTTCATCGACGGATTTTTACGAGGAACACTCATTATCAGCCCTTTTGCGTCCCCACTGCAGAGCTCAGGCCTTCCTTATGGATGGTTAAGGGGGATAGGCTATGATCCTACACTCAATGTAATACGGATTGGAGGGCATTAACGACTGCAAATACAACCGGTGCCAACGGCTTAACGTGATTTGATATTACTACAATCAACTTTATTATTCCAGAAACTGCTATTGATGTCTGGCGGAGGTTTTCGATAGGTTATTGAACGACACAGCTAAATAAATAATTAGAAAAATATGTATTCTCAAAACAAAACACAATCAATAGGTCCACGGTCCAATCCATTTTACACATTCTAAAACAATTTAATTGGACAGCTGTTCGGCCATTTAAACTAAATTTAATGAACACATCTCCATTGGTCGATTAAATTGTTAATTAAGCCAACGTTATTTACGGGCTGTTAAACGGTTAAATGTAGTATTTTACGTAATCTAATTGTTATAACAATTACCTATTAACAAGTCGATTAACGACTAAGTATGTTAAATTCAACAAATTCAAATAGTATATTTTTTATAACATAGTATGATGGTAGTTAAGTTCTATTAATGTAATAAAGTTCGTGAGTATTTATGTATGTTTGTTGCTATTTAACGCAAAAACTTCTCAACGAACTTTAAGATTTTTTTAAAGTAATAAATAGTAAGAGGATGATGAGTAATTTTCGTATGATTGTCAGTCAGGTAGATTATTGGAGAATATTTAACACATATTTTTTATTTTTTAATCAATAAATTACGGTTATACGTTGAGTTGAAATGTCGTATGACACCTTTCTACATTTTCTGGACAGTTGTGACGTAGCGAGCCAACACTTCTCAACTTTAATGCCTATTATCCTAGCCATTTCTAATTAAAGCAAAAAAAATGTCACTATTATGTTTGATCAATTTTGCATTGCACAATGCTATATTGAAAGATATTCTTAATGAAAAACATAATAAGCAAATAAAATAATTACAACAAATTTTCAGTTTTCAGTTTAAATATTTGTAAAAATATTTCTTTCGGCTGTTTGGATGGATTGCCTGAACATTGGTGAAAATACGCTCTGTAGTAACGAAAAGGTAACAAGTGCTTGAAGGATTCGTCAGTCATGTTAGGTCCTGGGTAGCAGGAGGAGTCCCACATAACCCGTAGAGCCCGCGCTGGGTGAAGCGGGTATGCATAACGCATTTCTCAGCGTCAAAAGGTCCCGGGTAGCAGAGTTGTTAGAGCAGTTGCTTGCAAAAGTTCGTGGATTCGAGTCTGATGTCTGAATTGATTTTTTAAGCATTTTTCATTAAGATATAATTTGTTTTATTTACACAAAACAAACTCATAATAAAGATAAAGTTAATTTTGAGAATATTTATCTGTTTATTGTTTTATATTTTAATAGACAATAAACGTTTATAGAGAACTGGGGGTCAATTCTACTAAATAAATTTTGTTTAAATCAAATTGAAAACAGATCGAAACCGAACGAAACTACAGTTTTTAATGGTTTTTCTATACTAAGTGATATACGATACAATTCCAGCTAAAATAGAATTGGAATTGGTTAGTAGAATTGGCCCCCAGTAGTTATGTACTGGTATTAATATTATTATATGTTAACGTTACATAATATAACTTTGGACGAATAAGAAGGTTACGGCTGAAATATAAATTACAACCAAGATGATGTCTTAATAATCCAACATTAATTTTAATTAATAGACGTCCTTAGTCTTAAAAAATATAACCGTGCAATCTAAACTGGTAAACTATAATTAGAATCGTATCAGTCATGCAATGCTTAAGTACGATGCACGGGTAAAAAAACCGTTCGCAAACTCATAACTAATGCATTACACTGACTTCGTTATTGGTTAAGTAATACTGTTGAAGAAATAGTGAGTGTGACGCAAAAATGCTTAATTGAATTACAAAAATTTCAATTTAACAAGGTTTAGAGTATAAATTTGCAATTTTAGTATTAGTCCAAATTCATATCGTACAGAGAATAAGCAAACCTACTACCTTATAGGACTAAATATTTCTCGTAGAACCTCGTACTAGGTTAACCTTTGCCAAGTCTCTGTTTAATAATATGAACTTTGACTGAAGTGAATTTACTCCAACGCTAAACCTTGTTTATTAACAACAGTGTATATGTATACATAGTATAAAACAAAGTCGCTTCCTGCTGTCTGCACGTTGAGAACTTTTTAACTACACAACGTATTACAATGCGGTCTTCATTAATAGACAGATGTATTTAAGAGGAAAGTTTATATGTATAATTCGGTTCTACGCGGGCGAAGCTCTGGCGGATAGATAGGTTATTTATATAAAAATGATATAGATGATCTCCGTGGCTGAATAAGTAGCTGGTTTTAATAATCGCAATATCTAATGCCCTGGGTTCGATTCTCGCTCGTGTCAGTGTAGGAAATTATTTTTACTACATTATTTTGGAGCTCAGGGTTGTGTTATTTAGTTGCTTCGTTATTTCAGATTTCCATATCACAAATACCTATTTCAAAACTTCGTAATTTTAAGGACTTTAAACTAATAAAAATCTATTTTACATTATTTAATTTGTGCCTTGTGATCATTTCTTGTTTTAATGGTGTGTTAAGTTAATGTAAGTTACGTACTCAAGTATGCAGACGGTGACATCGGCAATTTCCTCTCCTTGGGCGGGGTGCTATAAACGAACGCTTGGTTCACACACCCCCGCGGCTGGTGTGGGCACGTATCACCTTCTGAACCTCGTCTAACCCTCCTCTGCATCACCTCTGCCATACTTTTTGCCGACTCCGATTTCCCGATTCCCTTCAGTTTCTTTTTCCCCTTATCCGGCGAATGTATATGCAAAATAGCCGCAGCCTTCGGCGGAATCTTTTCAGGCACCAACAAATCCTTCGCCGACGCGCTTTTTTGCTTCTTATTCATAAACAGGTCGCTGAATTTTGACTTCTCCACTTTCCTAGGCCTCTGCGGTTTCAAATTCAAGTCGATGTCACCGCTCTTCTTCCTTTGCTTGGCGGGTTCCGGCTTCCGCCGCGCCATGACTGGTGTTGTCGCCTTGTAAGTACCGTCTAATCCTTTGTACGCTATGTCTTCGTACTCCTTTTCGGTATTCCAAATTTGAGTGGTAAAAACAACACTGTTCCTTTCGATGTCGTCTATTACTTCAGTTTCTTCCTCTTTTGATGACCGCCAGCGGTTGCCTATCAGGCGTAAGGAAGCGCGGACGGATCGAGAGCGACGCAATCCACCTGACTCCCTCTTGAACCTGTCAAGGATGGTCTCCATAGCCCGGTGAGGGGTGCGGGGGCGCGCGGGGCCCTGGGCATTGCACGTCACGATCGACTACGCGCACTCTATTCACTCGAACGATAGTTACGTGAGTCTTTCCGACGTTCACTCAAAGCGGCGTCGCTTTGTCGAATGCGGCCTTTAACAGTGGTAATGGTAGGGCTTCGGTACCGATCCCAGAGCTCGCAGTAGCCGGCTCTCGCGTCACCAGTACGTCTGATAAAGCTGTACCCATTTGCACAATCGTAATTATTTGATTATGTTATCTGATATGACTGTTTGGTGTACTTGTGACACCAAGATTTGTTTGTTTGTGACGTTTGATTGAGATATGGAAAGATCGTGTTCACAACACGAGAACGTGTATTCTATTATTTAGTATTTGGGTATTACTACGAATATTTTTTCGATAAAATTTTAATGCAATCCTCGCTGTTTCTTTCATTGAAGATTAATATATATATATAGATATATATATAAAAGCGAAAGTTCACTCACTCACTTACGAAATCTAAGAAACTACAAGTGGTAGGTAGTCGTAGGTACTCACAAAGATGGGATTTTATGAAATTCAACCCCCAAGGCGGTAAATTAGGTGATGAAAGTTTGTATGAAACTTCGTTACTACAAGTGCTAGGAGTTTAAATTTTCCATGCGGATTATTTTCAGAACGTAGGTACTCACTAAGACGGGATTTTACGAAATTCGACCCTTAAGTGGGTAAATTAGGGGATGAAAGTTTTTATGGAATTTTCTAATTTCTGGACTTTAAACTAGATGACAAGGGTGATGCCGATGGCGGAGAGTTGGTAACATAATAATGATGAACTACATACTACTATAAGTTTGTATATAAGATATTGCTATTTTAGAGTTGATCACCTTGCCCTCAATATTTTAAGGTAATCGTCATTAGCTTATACGTGTTTTATTTCTAAAATTAAATGAATCAATGCTAAATCACCGATTCGCTAGGAAGTGGGATACAAATTAGGGGATTTAATTCTTTATGGAACGTTGCATATCCCTTTCATTGAATTTCCCTTTGGGATATTATATTAAGACTTTATTTTGATTAAAATTATTTGATTAAATATAGATACAAAAAGGCACAATCCTCGGAACTGTTATACCTAATGAACTTAAGTATAAACAACGAATTTTCGTGAAACTTTTTACGTTGCCTTGATAAAAGCACAATGAAAAAAGTTTATCCATTAAAATTTGTAAGTCTAACCGTTTCTCTAAATTAAATAAATATAAAGAAAACTAAAGCATCTGTTTTTGATTTAGTTTCTAAAATATATATATATATATATATATATATATATATATATATATATATATATACATGAAAAAAGGAAGTACACAAATGGCGACGTGTTAGTCTAATTAGTTGCAACAACAAGTGCCGTTGGCGAAAAAAGTGAGATGTTGAAGGGATAGGGCTTCAACATCTTACTTTTTTACCTGATAATCTTGGACGTTCCAAGGACAAATCTACTTATTATCTTATATTAAAGCTTTAAGTAAAAATACGAACTTTTTATAGAAAATTTTTGAGTGTGTTTTTTATTATTAAATAATTAACCGAAACGTTTTTAGATTAAAAAAAAAACTTTTTAATGATTTTAACAATGCAATCCAAAAGATTTCATGAAAATCTATACATTATGACCGATATAAACCAAACGGCACTCGATTATAAAACGTAGGATTGTCCGCGAACGAAACTTCTGGAAATTTCGAAACATTCTCATAATAATTGTTTAAATTTTAGCTCCGTCGTAAATGTGTTTGGGGTCTTTGGGGCCTTTGAGGTCGTATTAGCATTTCGAAAATACACAAAACTGTGTTTTCGGAGAAACAGAATAGGCTTTCAGGTGGCATGTTAATTAGTTTTAGTAGTAACATGTTATTTTTCCATGCGCAAAGGATTAGTCTGGTAGTCTGCTGTGCATTACTCTTTTCTTTATATCTATCAGTAAGAGAAAGAGTTAACTAGATTACAGTGTCGTAATAATATAGCAAAGTAAATATCACAACTATATTCATTAATTATATATGATGTATGAATCCCTTAAAAGCCAGTTCGATTCGAGTCACCATCAATCAATCGATTAGAATCTAATGTTTAAAGGTGACTCGGAAATATGATCTGTGGAATATCCACGTGGTATCCGTATGGCAAAATTATGCAATCTTTTAAGTTCGATTGTGTAACACGTCTTATACAAAACGTCGACATTATGAAATCGACTTCATACTATGGAGACTGAAATTTATAATAGATTAATTGGTGTGCATAGCTATGCCTTTATAATACCAGAGAACTAATTGTTTATTATCAAAATCACATTCTCTTTCATTTGAAATTTAAAAGATGTACGAACTTTAAAACTATTTGACATGGGATTGAGCTTGCGGTCGTGATGTTATTTTAAATAGGTATATTGAAGAATAACAATAGATAGTGAAATTAGATCATTAGGCCGCAGGATGGCCAAGACAAATTATTTCTGACATCAATATCTAGACGTGCTGTCAACTGCAAATACAACAAAAGGTCAAATTTCTCAAATATTTTTTTTATCTATTAAACATGAAACACAAAGTTTGTATGTAATATGTAATATTTGTTAGGCAAAAACGAGTTAACAAACATAGTTCTCCGTTTCATAAATGGCTATAGAAAAATTCTTAATTAATGTTATAAAAATTTTCAATTGTTGAACGAAATCACTTTTAAAGCAGAAAAATACGGAATTCAAACATGAGTTCTGATTCTGTGATTGTTTATATCTGGTTTGTGCGCGCTTTTGGAATATTCGAAGCTAAAACCATTTTTTTATTCTATTCGATTTACCTAGTTCGATACATCAAAAACCTTTTCATATTGTTCAAGAACATCATCAAAATTTATGAATAAAGACTTGCATATTAGAATATAACTTGTCCTTATTTTTGTGTCTATGTTTTCTTTGTCGTGTTCGTAATTGTATAGTTATCTAATAGAAACATTTTTAACAGGTACAACCTATTGGATATTTCAAGGATTTGTAATCTAGTGTTGAACTAGATTTAGTTCATATCGATTAAGACGACAAATAAACGAATGTAAAAGCTCAGTTTCGGAAGCAACATAAACTCAACAGATAGTCAGACTATGACTGAATTTGTTCAAAGAAAGCACTTTTTATTTGATTAATCAATTCAATATTAATTAAATTCATGTAGAATTAAAAAGTGATTAAATAATATTTATTAAGTCAAATTATAGCTAATTCATTGTTTGTCTTTTTTTATTTGTTTTTGTTTCCAGGTTGAAATTATAAAAACATTTTAAGCATTGCCAAAAAACCAATTACTCGCCCAAGCAATAAAATTTTTGTATAAAAGCTTCATTCACAAATATGGGGTATGTAGAATTCCCCGGTCAGGTAGCAGGTGCTTCCTTGTTGGGCCCGACCTCTCGCAGTCCCTTTGTGTTGCTTCCCGCCATTTTTTGTTTAATAGTGTTGCAAGGTGGAATATTCGTCTATTAGGGCGACGCACTTTGCCACATGAGTAATTGAGCTTAGTTTCTTGCTTACTCTTTGAGCCTATGTTTGTATATTGTCGGTATTAAAAAATAGGTAAGAAGGTCACTGTAAAAAGGGCACGGTCGTACCATAAATTAAGAAAAAATGAGTCTAATCAACAGGCTAGTAAGTGAGAAGATTTAATACAGATGATGGCCTAGGTTAAAAAGTAAAAAGTATTTTATATAATTTCTCAATTACTCACCTTGTTTATATATATTATATTAATACCACAACCCCCAGACCCTAGACAATATTGAAAAGTTAAATTTCTATATTGATCAGATTGAGAATCGAACCCGAGACCTCAAAGATAGCTACCTTGAAACCGGCGTGCGAAAATACTAGCTACGGGGGTCGTTTTCACTATTGAAAAGACTAATAATATGAAATTTAAATTGAGATATTGCTTCTCTAGTTATTTAACTCATTGTTATCATAAGACAAATATTTGAGCAATGTAAAATTTATTACAAACTAAGTTAGCATTAAATTATTCATAACGGGACTATTTATCAGGACGATTGAAATAACCCGTCCGCATAAAGAGAGCTTTTACATTGAAAGATAACAACACAATAAGTTTCATTGTTTACTGTCACGCAATTATTAGACGGGTTATTGTTAGAATTTAATAATGAAATAACTGAAGTTCCACTGATGTTTTTGTATTATGACCTAGATTTTTAAGAGATTGCTTCGATTGACAGTTTTCTTAAAATAGTTTTGGTATATTGTTACTGTTGTAATATGTATTATTTAACTTATTTGGTTTCCATACTTAAACATATGTAGGTGTACATATAACATTATTATTTTTTGTAACTGTTTCCAACAATACATTCTCTAGATTACAATATGTTATATGATTACTTTTCTGTGACCTAATCAATGTTAGATAATTTTAACTATGAACTATTTATAGTTACTATTCAAGCTACTTCGTCTTTCTTCTGTTTCATCAATATAAACATAGGATTACCTAAACAAAAACAGCATAACATTACTACATTAAAATACAGTTGAATTTTGTTTTCAGGAATTTGTTGTCGAATTTAAGATATCTTTTCTTAAGCGGGTATATATTTTCTCAGATAGCTGCTGAAAGTGCAAATAATAATCGCGGTTGCAGTTATAGCTTTATAGCACAATAATAATAATAATCATTTATTCTCTCAACACAAAATTATGTACATACATGTGAGTCTTAAGATTCTTAAAAACATTTTGTATCTTAATTTTGTGAGAGACTGGAGCCCGAAATTGGTTTATGAGCTACGTAGATCTTTTGGTACGAATTGGTAGTACTTATGAAATACTTTCATTATTGATTTTCAGAGATGTTATTTTGGAAGACAGATTTTCATGCTAGTAAACGATAAGCGGGGAATATATCATTAAAAGCACTGGGATACCGGGTTCTATGTTCTTGCTGTTTTCGATTGGTATAAAAATCTAAAGAAGTAATGTTGAACACCAGTTTTAATGAACACAGAAGAAATATTACCTAATCCCAGACTGTACGGGCTCGACCCCTTTGCGTTTAATTAAATAAAAACGGTCAGAGTATTTTAATCATTTGAATCTAAAGATTTAAGTTCGCCTGTCCCATGGACGAAACTA